ATTTGTTCTCTATAAAGCATAGTATTATCAACCTCTTTGATTTAATGGGAGTGTTTTAGGGAGGCAGGACAATCTAATGTCTTCAGAAGCAAGTAGATCTACATGCATACTGTCCCAATTTAAGACAGAACTCAAAACCTTAAGTATAGTCTACATTTTACTATCTCCACTGACATCAAGGTATTTCCACCTGAGTGCAACATAGAAGAATTTGACATGGTCTTTTTAGGTCCCATGTGTCAGACTTCTGAAGTAAAATCTGGATTATATAAAGAAAGGCAATTTATCTGGACAAGAAAAACTATTAAGAAGAAAAACTAACATTGTCCTTACAAATAGTTGTTTCTTATTTCTGTTATTCCTTTTAAAAATTCAACGGACAGGTTCTCAATCACTGTAAACTCTCAGAGATCTGTTGATATTTAGATGGTTATATTAATTTATGTCTGCTGACAATCTGTACTCTGATGTATACTCAGAATTTATATTATAATCCTAAGTCCAAGTTTTAAGGTGATAATCATCCAGCTCCAAGCCATTTGAACAGTTAAAAATCTAATTGATCAAGTATAATGAAGAAGAAATCCACAAGTAATCCTGTTTCTGTCATTTAAAGAGCACAACAACAGATCCTACTTGGTAGTCCCCAGCTAATCTACCTACCTTACACAGATGAAGTATAAAACACGATGACTTTACTGAAGAGAATTCTAGCCAAGGAAAGAAAGCATTTATCAGTTCACTTAGAGACAGTCAAGCCTCTTCTGAAGCATAATTTTGAAGCAAAGCAGAAAATTTTGTGTAGAATAAGAAAAAAACCAAAATCTTACCTCCTTCAGACCTGTATTCTGTCTGTTTAGTGAAAGGCATGTGCAGCTTTCTTTTCCTTGACTTGGTCTGTTTTTTTCTTCTTTGATCTGTTCTCTTGTGACTATCACGAGTTTAAATTCCTTTCAGTACAGCTTCTGAATGCATTAATTAGCATGAAAGGGGCAAGGAAACAACTTTTCATTTTCTTCTGCATCCTTCCCTCTTAAGAAGCAACAGAAAAAATTTCTTCATTTATTACATACCCTCTGAGAGATGGTTGAACTCCTTTTTACCTGCCCAATCAGTACAAGCTCATGGAGTGGGCAGACTATTTCTAAATTCAAACATGGTTTGATTTGGGGCAGATTATTTTGTGAAAGAGGTCTGGTATTTTCACATGTATTTACTGCAGCTTTGCTTGTGCACATTTATTGCACCATTTTAACCCTGTGCAAACTAGTATGTCTGGACCAAAACTCATAGGTGGATAGTTGGCAAATACTTTCGGGCAAATACAGTTTAGATTAGGGGAAATACAATTTGATTAGGACAAGTACAATTTAATTCTGTAGTGATTGGCAAATACTGCAAAGAAAAGAGTCCTATGGGCTGCAGTTTCATATGGGTTTGTGTGCACTGCCTGTGCTAATGCTGCAGTAGTTCCATTTACAAGACCAGGCAAGAAGTGGCAGTTTGTGATTAATTCAGAGGTACTATGATGAACCTTAGTTACTGCCAAAACCAGAGAGTATATAAGGACAATGTTCTGTTGTCATTTGTCCTAATGAATCATTAATCTGAGCCTCTCTGTCCTTCCACAGACTTTGTAAGTTTGAAGGACTAAACACTTGTAAGTTTTTGCTTATCTTTGAAGCTGTGCACCTGGCTGTAAATGTGGTGAAAATGGCTGAGAGACTCAAGAGTGAATAGGAAAGAACAGACAGCATAAGAGATCAGCATCTGTTTCATTAGGAAAACAGATGAAAAGTCTTAATATCAATGTTCTTAGGTTGTGCAGGGCTGGTCAGTCAGACCATTTTTCTGCTTGAGTATTTTGCCTAATTATGGTAAAAATCTGATTTTTCTTTAGATATTTTTCCATGGTGGTGCTCAGTGACAGGACCAGAGGCAATGGGTGCAGACTGAAACACAGGAGATGCTCTCTGAACATCAGGAAACTTTTGTTTCTCTGAGGGTGATAGCACTGGCACAGGTTGCCCAGGGAGCTTGTCAAGTTGTGGGCAAGGAGGTTCAGGTGGCCCTGCTGGAGCAGGGGATTAGACCAGATGACCTCAAGAGGTGCCTTCCAACATCAACCATGCTGTGATTAACACCAGAAGGATCTAGCTGGTTTTGCTACACCCATTACAGTTTGAGGCAACACAGTTTTTGTGGAGGGGAAGATGAAGGGAAGAAGAAGAATGAACTTGCTCATTTGGCCAAATGGTTCAGTGTTTTGTATTACCCAGATGAACTCAATAGGAGTTTCAAAGGTGAAAGAGATGTCATGGTGAAATTTTAAGTGGATGTTATCACAGCCTGTCAAGTTCCCAAGCAACATGCCAAGCCCTTGTGCACTCTAAAAAATGCCATAGAGCTCATTATCAAATCATGTGTTTTCCTGAAGAAAAGCTTGACTTCTGGGAGAGGACAATAACTGAAGGGCACTATTTGGTCTTGTGAGAACCCAAACTGAGACATACAGAAGATCCATGTGATACCAAAACTAGTGTCCGCCCCTTACTTGCCTCAAGTGATATGTGGGATAAAATGTCAACTGATCGAATATTTCATGTTCTGAATGAATCTCTTGTTAATAGTATAACAAGAAAGGGGAAAAAAAGTCAGCTTTGTCATAGATCTGTGGTATCATCTGGATTGTAAATGTAGAATGCTGCTGTTGAGGAACTGGATGGATGAGAAGGTGAAACACCACATCCTGTAGTAACTATGCCAAGAGGATGCCACAAACCTAGTGGTGCCTATGTTCCTGCACCATGTTTTTCCAAAGGAAAAAGATTGGATAGCTTTCTGGAAGTGTTTTCTTTTGCTCCTACTTTGTTTTTGGTTGACTGGAGGTTCTGAGCTCAGGAGATTGTTCAGATTTGTGGGAATTTCTCCATGACCAACTGTGGGTGAAAAACTTTTGGATGTAGTTGGGCACTATCAGGGTGACACTGAGTTATGAGTTCCCTTGCATGTAATTTCAGGAGGCTATACCTGATTCAAAAGAATGGTAGTGCTTACTAAAGCCTCACAGTCCTATTTCCACCAGTAAGTGGCTGACTGGTCTGGGGTGAGAAACTCCTTGCAGATGAGTTGCTGATTTAGGCCTCTGAGGCCTGAAACATTTTGCTTAACACTGACTACATCCTTGGATCAGAACACTCAAGTGTTTTGAACACTCAAATTTTTGAACACTCAAATTTTGCAAGTAATCTCCACAGTAATAGTCCAGTGAAATTTAACTTGGCATACTGCTGCTACATCTGAAGTAAAAGCAGTCCCAGAATGAGTGCAAACACTCAGTACTTCTGTGCTATTAAACAGATACACAGCTGTCAGCTGACAGTGTCCAGGTGGACTAATACCATTCTGTGCATTTAGCAAAGAAAATAAAAGTGTGACTTTTCATTTCTCACAGGGTCCTGGTCAGGCTGGTGGGAACCTGGGGAAGTCTCCAGTCCCAGCCCTAACTGAGCCAGTTTTGGGTTCAGACTGGACTGCTCAGGGCTTCACCCAGTCAGGCTGTGAAACCCCTGAGCCATGACCACACCACTGAGCTGTCCTCATGTCATCTCATGTTTCAGCTTGTCCTGCTGCCTCTCGCCCTCTCACCACAGCCCATCTGCATCCCCTCTGTCCCTCCTGTTGGTGCTGGGGATGCTGTTGGTGCCCCCAAAGCTGCCACTCCTCCTGGCAGAACCAGCCCCAGTTCCACAGCCTCTCAGTGATCCTCTGCTGAACTCAGTCATGTTTGTCAACTTCTTTCCTGTACTTGATGCTCTGAAATGTATGCACAACTGTGGAGCAGAGGGGAATAATCACCTCTCTTGATCTATTCCCTCTGCCCTTGTTCATAAGGGGCAGAAAGCCACTAAGTGCCTTCTTTACTGCCCATGTCAGATGCCAGGACATGTCAAAATAAATCAGTGACAAGACTTATAAATTAAATAAAATAAAGAATTTTGCAGGGAAATTCGGAGAGGAAAACTGCATCTATTAAACATCTCCCCATTCCTCTCACTTCCAACAATTTCCCTTCCTTTTATTTTATAAAGAGTTAATTTAAATATTGGAACACTGCAGAACACTGAAGAATAATACATTTAGAAAAATCCAAGTTTTGCAATTGACAAGTTTGAAAAGTATTTTGTCAGAAATTTCAGAACCTTACTACAAGACTTTGCCCACACAGT